CTGTTTCCATGTCTTGGCTATTGTGAATAATGCTGCTATGAACACTGGGATGCAGAAAACAGTAGTTTTCAATAATTTTTTTTTAATCACTAGAACTTAGAGCACCAGGCTTTCAGTCTGAATATTGTATAGTTCAACCATTCTTATAATGTTTGAATGCTGGGAGGCAATTCTCCAAGAGTCTCTCACATTTCTTCATGTCTTGTATTAGCTTTTGTTCTAGACTATATTTGCTATGTTTGTTATACAAACAGCCTTGGAAGTGAAAGAAAATGTCTCCCTCCAGAATATATGGAAATTTTGTTTGCTGTCCAGAATAGTAAAGAAAACGTCTGCTCCAGGGCAAAGTTTAGGGAGATATACTAGCAATCCCTTTAAAAGATTAGAGTTTCCCAAGCTTAAGGTTCCCAAACTGTGAGGCAAACCCACTGTGTACACAGCATCTACCAAGGCCATTCCAGGTCACCCCGAGGACTTATGGGGCAAGGACAACTGACATGAACATAAAACTCACGCTGTGGGCTTAACTGTGAGTAGGAAAGTCCTCTGTCTCTGATCCAGGAGTCTTGTATCTTCTGCCAGCATTTATGAAATGGGCAGGTCACCCTGTTAGCTTGCAAGTGGGAGAAAATCTTAGATCCTTCAGAGCTGTTGACATTGAACACCCCATATAATATGGGTCCACCTCAGTCTCTGTTTTGTTTGTTTGCTTGCTGTTTGTCCATTTGCTTTGGGAAGGATGGCAGACTGTGGAACTGTATCCACACAAAGATACAAAGATGGGCATGGATGAACCCACAACTACCTCCCCACTATAAACGGCATGCCTGCTTCCTTCTTTTTGGCACTCTATTCCACTCACAACTTAAATTCTTCCCCACTGAAGGTCTCTCCAGCAAGACTGTAAACTCACTTAGGCAGGGACTGTTACCTCCCAAGACTGTCCACAATCATTGGCCATTGACACTCGTGTGAATAAAGCTTTGTCTCTGGGATTAGGATTTGAATCCCTGCTAAGTCATTCATCACCTGTGAAGCTTCGTACAAGTTAACTGGCCTCTGCAAACCTCAGTTCTTCTCAGCTGTGAAAATTGGGATCATAAAACATTTCCCTCGGAGTTGTTGTAAAACCACATGGCATAATATAAAGTCCTAACATAATGTTCTGGGCAAAGTAGGCATTAAAGAAATAGGAATTAAATATGTTAAACTGCAATAGGAATTCAAATATAACTGCCTTTTGGGTCGTGCCTTGTTTTCTACCCACTTCTCCCAACTCCCTAAATAGTGATATATGCTCCTGAGATGAAATTAATAGGATTCTCAAGAATAAATTTAAATTACAAAAGACTATTTTTCAACTTAACAGTACCATCTACAGGAATTTATCTTAAGGAAATGAGAAGAGATTTGTGTACAACTCTTCCTTACAGTGTGACTTATTAGAATAAAAACAATAAATAACAACCTAAGTGTCTAATCATAGGGGATTATTTAAATCAATCATTGAATAAGTCATGCAAGAGAATGTTGTATAGCAATTAAAAATTTTGTGGTAGAAGGATATTTATAGACATAGATATTTGTTATTCAGTGAAAGAAGGCAGGTTTCAGGACACGTCTTCCAATTTTGTTTTTAAATGTATTTCCATTCATGAGATACTAGAAAGTTATAGATCAAAATGTTATAAATGGTTTTAGGTTGTACACTTCTATGTATCTCCTAAATTTCATAAAATGAACTTATATACTATCTATAAAAAGTAAAAAAATTCAATATTATAAAAGCTACACATAGTAGTGCATTAAAAACCGAAATAGGAAGCGTGAATAAAAATATTAAAAGTTACTTCTGAATATAATTCAAACAGGGAAAAATGATATCAAAAAAATCATAGCGTCAAAAAGTATTTCAAATGTTACATTCCTTTTTAAATCCCAAATTTAACATATCTTATTCCACAGAAGAGCAGAAAACACAAGAAAATATAAGCCAATACTAGTCACCTATCGAAGTTTACATTCTCTGTTCCGATGAAGTTGTTTAAAACATGCTGCCAGTAATTTTACCTACACCAGGCTGCAACTCATCATGTGACATTCACTTTTCATGCAAATACCACCTTATCTCCAAATCACAAGTACGAAATTTAAATAATTAAACCAGCGAGTTCCTCACTCACCTTAACAACCACCGCATCATCTAACTGCCCAACTCTTCAGATGATCTTTGGACTTTTGGAGTCAAGATATGATTTGATTACCTGGCCTTTCCTGTGCCTCCCGTGCACTGATGAATATCAATGAATTCCGTGAGTTGTTTTTGCAACATCACATCTTTGCCTTCAATTTGAGTAATGAATTTATGCTGTAAAAGATCTGACACTGTTGGACGCTTCTCATAATCTTTAGTCAAGCACCTGCACTGGCAAAAAGGAACATGCAACTGTTAGATAAGTTAGAGCTTTGAAATTATCATTCACAGTCCTAAAAACTACTCTAACACAATGGAATGATGCTCTCCATCAATGCTCAGCCCAAGAAACATATCTCAAAAAATGTTAAAACTGCAACAGGATGAATTAATGTCTGTGAAAGTGCACATATCCCTGAGTGATTATGCTGTAGTGATACCAACTTGCACTGAATTCCACTTCCCTAGCCTCCCAGCAAGTCTTACTGCAGAGTGATAATTGAACTCAGTCTCCGCTGCAAAGACTCCTTTACAAGTCAGTAGCTAAAGATAAACAACAATGAAGTCATTATAGTTTTAATGCTTATCTAAAATTAAAACAAATTTTTCAGTGTCCCTTCACTAATGCTTTTAAAGGTTTCTCAATTGATCTATTTTTTTCTACGTGATAAAACTGCTAACCCATTTGCGAAGGCTTATGTGCTGGGGATGTTGGAATTCCACGTCAGCACAGTGAATGTTTCGTGACGTCCTACAGTAGATGGACAAGTGCGCTATCACACGTCTTGATAGGATCAACCAGGTGACAGCATCAGAGAGGAGCATTTGAACAAACACTGGATGTTTAGTCTGCTGTCTTCAAATATTTGGAAGAGGAATTAGACTAGTTTTCAGTGGTCACAAGGGACAAAAAACCTAGGATCACTGGTAGAATTAAGAGAGAACAGATTTCTGGGCAGTGTAAGGGGGAACTTGTTGACAGTCAATCTTATCAAAGATGGAACAGGATGCACTGAGAAGCATGATTATCTTTATTAGGGGTTTACTGATTGGATGGTCAATCAGCACACATGTTCTAGAAGGATTCATGCTCTGGATACCCTTCCAACCCTGAGGTTCTGAGGATCGATGATTATGAGAACACTGGTCACAGCTGGGCTGTCATGTGGGGACAGAAAACAGGAAAAAAATAAGAAGGAACCCATGTCTGAGCTGAGCCGTGCCATTTCTCGTCTGTATTGTTCATCTTCCTGGGATGGGAATTTGGCAATTTATTCTATTGGGCTTATCTGAAAAGATCCTACCCAGGGATGCTAACATATGCTAAGGAATGAGGATGACACTCTAAAGTTTCCATTTCGTCTAAGAGAGTGTGTCGATTTCTGCCACCTGCAGCACGTGTAGCTACGCACTGAGTTCAGTCACACATGGGATTATTTCACTCAAGTAAAACCTCATCAAATAGCTGATGGGTACCAGCCACCCTGTGAGACACTGAAGTCATAAGAACAAGTAATGCACATTTGGTGCCTTGGAGTTACTTACAGGCTCTTTTGGGAGAAAGTCCTCCAAACGGGAAGCTGAATAAAAGAGGTGATGCTGCCAGAGCAGGTGGAGCAAAGTGCAGCGAGAGTACTCGTGGCAGGGCCCTCCCTGCCTGCAGGAAACCTGGATGTGTTTCTAGGAGGTGAAACGGCGTGGGATATGTCAATGTACCAAGCCCTGATGAGGGTCCGCGTGGAAGGATCTGCAGACGTGGGCATGACTGAATGATGGGGAGCCCTTGGAAGTTACCAAAAATTCTCCTAAGAGATCTGTGACTATCCTATAGAGCACAGTACCTACTCAGAAATAACTAGTTAAGTGAAAACTAAAAAAAAAAAAAAAAAAAGATTATCACTCCTTCTGGCACCTTCATAACCCTTAAATAAGCCTCTGTCTTTATAGAAACAAGTAGCTATTGTTGGTGGGAAAACCAGCCGTAGCAGCAGGGGCACGTGCGATGGGTCTCTCTGCTTTCTTTGCTCTTTTTACATTTTCTTTTTTTTAAACTTTATTTATGTATTTATTTTACAGTATCATTTTTTTAAGTTGAAGTATAGCTGATGTACAATATCATATGTTACAGGTATACAATATCATGGTTTACAATTTTTAAAGGTTATTCTCCAATTGTAGTTATTATAAAATATTGGCTCTATCCCTCATGTTGTAGAATACATCCTTGTAGCTTATTTGATACCTGACAGTTTGTTTCTTTTTCACATTTTCTGAGTGAAGTGTGACACATCAAAAGTTAACGACCTCTCTCTTCCACTTACAACCCAGAGTCATCCCTCACCTTAGTCTTCCAAGGTGAAGTCCTAATAAAGATTACGAGAAAAGTTCATGGACAGATTTAGAAAGGGCTGACTCATAGCTTCCAGCCAACTGTCTGGAGGCCAGTGCACTTGTACTAAGTAGCTGTCATATTAAAAATGAATTTCAAATGTATAAGCATTTTATCTATGTGATTATCTGACTCACCACTTGCAATGAAAATTCCCTGACTGTGATGAGAATTAGCGATGCAGATAAATGAAGGGCCAAATAACTGAATAAGATGATGGTCAGAAGGTGGGAGGTGTTGAGGGCGTGGCTACAAAAGGCAGCTGCACAGAGAACGTGTCCATGGACGATGCAACGTCCGCAGAAGCACTGTCATCAATAAGCAGATGAACAGGACCCCAAGGTCATTATTGGAACAACAATGAGTTCACCGAACATTCAGAAGACACTACAAATGCTTGTTTTGAAGAAAATAATGGAAACTCCTGGAGCTATTTAAAAGATAAGGAGGAGATTCAGAAGAGTGGAGGAATTGTTATAAAAGGCACATTTCAAAATTATAGCAGGATGGGATCTTTGGTTCTTTTAAAAGACTCTATTGTTACTCACTTGCTGATGAAGTCATTGAATTCTGCCGACCATATCTCAGGCTGCCTCAGTTTTGGGGGTGGATTCCTAGAAAAGTAAGATACAAGGTTGGATTGTGCACACCGCTCAGTCAGGACAAAATTAAGGGGCAGAGCTGGACAGACATGACTGCATCCAGCCTCTGCCTGGTGTAATCAAGCATTACCATCATTCCAATTCAAAGAAGGATCATGAGTTATTAATCATTCTGTATGTGGAATGACAGGTTCCTTGTTTCTCTGAAAGCACTTAATACATGACCCATTTTTTTCTAACTGTTCATTTTTTTTTTCTTTGAAAGAATCTTCTTGCTTTGAACTGAGAGCCCTAGAGGAAAACATAAATACTTAGCCAATAGAAACAATGATTACTGGGGAAAAGATTTTTTACTTTCGGTCCTGCAGAAGACTCTGCGGAACCTCCAGGGTACCCAGAGGTGGCCTGAAAGGAGAATTGTTCAGAACATGGAGACAACTGCAGCAGAGAGGGACCTTTCTTGCAGAATGACTTTAAGACCTGTTTTGTTGTTACTGGGTGGCCGGAAACAAGGTTACAAAAGCGAGGAACTGGAAAATATGATGAGCAATAAAGCTCTGAATGCCACTTAGAACATTTTGTTATTAATTCCTTTCATCTTAAGCTGAGCAAACCTTTTCCTTTTTGGTATGTTCATGAATACAAAGGAACATCATTTGAAAGTGAGGCTAATCTAACTGTAATCAAGCACCACTGATCAGCCGTGAGAGTTGAGATTGCTGAAGTACTGCTTTATGTTAATTCGAACGGCTCTTTGTTTTCATTAGTGGAATGGAAGCACTTTGTCTTCAGCTCTGCATTACTCCTCAAACGGCTTCTAATGAAATTAATGTGCAGTCTGTACTGGCTCATTAAAGGGAAGTGCAGCGACTCATCTACCCGAGATCACGCCTACAGCTCATTTCATGACCCTCAGGACTATCTGAAGATTGCTGATTTGCACGTTAAAAGAAGCAGTTCTTTTCTCTGACAATCATGCCTTGTTTCCTGTTCTCCTGATAATTTTCTTTCTAAGAGATCTATTGGCTTGCTTTGAGTATAACAAGGTTTTGATCTAGAACAATTCAAAACTTGGGTAGCTTTTCAGATGCCCTTTTCCCCTAATTATTTCTACAGTCAGTATTCTTAGAATTCCATCTTAGAGACATACTGACAGTAGAAGTAATGAGAAATAACTAAGATGGAGCAGTTTTCAGAAGTTCCTTGCTCGTTGATAACAAAATATATCAACAGTAGCGTCCCTCCTCCACGTGGCATCATCATCAAGGGCAGTAACACTAGGCTAACTACAGTCATTTGACCATTAAAATGGATCAGAAAGAATGGTCCTTCATCGTTCATACTGAATGACAGTAGGAGTTAGGACACACAGATTTTTTTTTGTTTGTTTTCCTCAAATTTAATGAAATGTCTTAGACTTGGTATAGAGCAGGTTTCCTGTTTGTTTGCTTTTTTTAATAATCTTGTTTCCCTCTTTACCAAATAAACAATATATTTCACAAACAGTAAGACCAGAGAGATACATTGAAATTGTTATGTAAAGGATGGTATATAGATTATCTAAGGTATTACAATTCAGAATATGTAAATAGGGCAGGAAACTCCCAGGTAAGGTTAAAAACAAATTCAAATGCTTTGGTCTTATACCAATTTAAGTACATGCCAAATATTCCAAATGGATCTATTTGGAAATGGATAAATCATATTGGCATTATTACTTTAGGACTGGAAACACCCCCACCAGGGCTTTGTACATATGATTCAATGTTCTGTGGGCATTAGGACCACAAAATTTATTTAATGGAGCGTGTGGTAACAAACTGTAACATACTTTACCTCTCTGCCCTGGACCCCTGTCACCACAGGCCCTTTCTGTGTATCTCATTAAAGTTAAGGAGCCAGGCAAAATCCCTAAAAAAGTCCTCAAAAGACAACAGATTTATAATAAAAATAGGTAGACTTTTCACATCAGTTTTCTGAAATATCTAGGAACTAACCAAAACATATATAAAAGAGTGATTAATTAGCGATCAGATAAGCTGGGGAAAGTGTGTCAATAAACACATTGAAGGGGAGGGGTCTACAGAGGAAAGTGCCTTCCTGGCTCCAAAGAGCTTAGTGTTTTACATTAATATATTCAAAACAGCAACATGTTTAAAATCCTTACTATTTGATCAGTAAATTTTATTCATAATTTTCTTAATGCTATTATTTTAAAATTCTAAACAAAGGGAAGTGTAAGCAAATAGCAAAAATTACTAGATTGATGGAGTGAAACACAGCACATCACTGTGGCATTGACTGTGGATCAGGGAGCCTCAATGACGAGTGAGGAAGTGGACCAAGAGTGGGAGGAACTGCTGTTTTCTGAGATTAAATCCTTGCCGAAGGGAAAAAGACACATTATATCCAGAGAAAGCTCTTTTACTTAGACTAGAGAAATGAAACTGTGGGACAATAAGAGTGTCTTGGAAGAAGCAGAATGATATTCCAGACCACCCTGCTCCCAGTCTGGTGAAGTACAGCTGGGTATTTCCGTGAGGAGCCTGACGAGCCGTCAGTGGCTGGAGGGCTGCAGGTGCCAGACGCACGTGAGAGCCCTCTGACCTTGGGATCTTGAAGAGCGCTCTCATGGGATGCAGGTCGGCTAGTGGAGGGTCTCCATCCCCGAGCTCGATGGCTGTGATCCCCAGGGACCACGTGTCACATCTGGCATCATAAGTGGTATCCAATTGCTGTTCACACGCAATCACCTAATAGAAAACAGAAAAAAAAAAGTGACATTTGTGACTTTAACAAGCACAAAGCAAAAAGCTCAGGACGGTGTGGAAGTTCAAGCTGATGAGGTTAATAGCTACGATCAAAGGCAGTAACATGGGGGAGTAAAAGCTCACATCACAACTGGTAGTAGCAACTTTATTCTGAGAACAGAGAATATCTTAGCAGGTTTGCATATATAAGGGAAGAAGCCTATGGGAAAAAATATTTTTGAAAATGCAAAACAGAAAGGGGAATGAAACAGCGTCACCAGTGGATGGGAAGGGATGGGATCAAACACACAGCTAAAGCTTGTGCAATGACAGGAGCTCAGTAAACATTTGATGAGTGGACGAGTCATTCATCATGGCAAAGATAAAGAATGTATCTTTAATGAATTCAAAGTGAAGAAGGAGGTAAAGAAAATTAAGCTCTAGAGCAGTCTAGTTAAATGGCCTTGATCTTTTCTGATAACTGGAAGGCAAGAATGGGACAAGTCTGGAGAAATGTAAAAAGGCTTACACCATTAATAAGAGAAAAATAAACTGGATAAAAATAAACATTGATTTGCACAGTTAAGTACCATCAACAAAATGAAACCTACGGAATGGGAGAAAATACTTGCAAATAATGCAACCAACAGGGACTTAATTTCCAAAGTACACAGACAGCTCATACACCTTAATATCAAAAAAACAAGCAACCCAATCAAAACTTGGACAGAAGGCCTCAATAGACATTTCTCCAAAGAAGATATTCAGATGGCCAACAAGTACATGAAAAGATGCTTAGCATCACTAATTGTCAGAGAAATGCAAATCAATACAATGGGTTATCACCTCACACCAGCCAGAATGATCATCATCAAAAAGTCCACAAAAGATGAATGCTGGAGAGGGTGTGGAGAAAAAGGAACCCTCCTACACTGTTGGTGGGAATGTAAATTGGTGCAGCCACTATGAAGGACAGGGTGCAAATTCCTTAAAAAACTAAAAATAGGCTTACCACATGATCCAGCAATCCCGCTCCTGGGCATATACCCAGAGAAAAATATAATTCAAAAAGACACATGCAATCCAATGTTCATAGCAGCACTATTTACAATAGCCAAGACATGGGAAAAAACTCAAATGCCATCAACAGATGACTGAGTAAAGAAGGTGTAGTGAATATATGTATATGTGTGTATATATATATATGTATATATATATACACACACACACACATACATATATATTTATAATGGAACATCACTCAGCCATAAAAAAGAATAAAATAATGCCATTTGCAGCAACATGGATGGCTCTGGAGATCGTCATTCTAAGTGAAGTGAGCCAGAAAGAGAAAGAAAAATGCCATATGATACCATTTACATGTGGAATCTAGGAAAAAAGGATACAAATGAACTACTTATTATTTATAACTTAGATGACTGATTTCTTGAATATATGTAAGCATATCTGACTGTCCCTTATTATTGGATTACCACATTTTGTTGATTTCTTATTTTGGGTTGGCTTTATTCCTTTGATAACTTGTAAGTTTAATAAGCTAAAGTTCTAAACTGTTCTTAGAAACAATGAACAGTAC